TATTTGTTGAGTACACACTGTAGTCGTCTGTGCATAACAGCATAAAAAATGGTTTGTTTGTGATTCATGTGTATTAGACAGATGACTATAAGAGAATGCGACTAATCATCATGATAAGTAGAAAAAGAGAGAGAGAGAGAGAGAGAGAGAGAGAGAATGCAGAAGAAGAAAAGTAATTTTAGAATCAATCAATCAACCTTTTATTTTAGACCATGATCTTAAAAGAATGACAGGGTAATAACAAAGGTTCAACAAAGAACTTGTCTAGGGCATCCCAGTAAAAAGGAACAAAATTAGGGANTAGGGAAGAAGTTTCGACAATTTTATTTGAACAATAGAAAAACTGGCACAGTAAAATAGAATATGGCTTAATATGTACTATTAAATACTCTAAGAAACAAGATGTTTCTTTAATGTACATTTAAAAGTCCGAGCACTAAAGGCAGCAATCCCTTCTCTTAGTAATTGATTCCACTCTTTTATAGCTTTTGGTAAAAAAGAACTAGTAGTTTTACGTTTTAACAACGAAACCTTGCGAAGGCATCGACTAAAGGTTCGCAAAGAAGTTCTAGTGGTACGAGGCTGTACTGACGAAAAGCGTAAAAGTGCATTACGTCCTGTAATGTTTCAATGCAAAGAAAAGAAGATGTTCTATCTCAAGGAAAACTAGTCGGTTATACTTCATTTGTGCATAATCAGGTTTATGAGCTAGATTGCTATCGTTTATAGTTTGGTCGCTATAAGTCCCAACTAAAAATTATGAAATGCAAAGGTAAATAGCATGTTCATCCAGCAAAGACTCTGATCGATTTCTATCAGATTTGGAACACTTTTTACTAATTCGTAAAAAGCGAGAATACTTTGTATGTATGTTACTAGAGCATCATGCGCACTCATACGTTCATATAAGACGGTATGAATAAAATTAACATATCAGTGAAATAAACCCTATAGCATATAATAGACAGTTTTAATTGTTTCTTTTTATTGCATAATGAAAATGAAATGTAAAAAAATAAAACGTTAGTGACAGATTGAATGAATGTATAAATACGCATGATAAACATATAAATAGCGATATGTAAATTAGTATGATTAGTGTAAAGGAAAAATAAAGTCAGTTAACTCCTATATTGTCTCAATTTCTATACAGTACCAAGAGTTTTGCACTATTTTTTTCTTAGATTATAGCGACAAATAATAATAGTAATCCATTTTTTTCTTTACTGAAGACCATGAAAACACTTTAAATGGAATATTATCTAGATGTTAATAATAATTGCAGTAATTGTAGGGATGGTATCGAAGCATAATGTAGAATTAAATTTACAAACTGAAATATTCGTGTAATGGATGTTGATTGAGATACTGTGGTGACCTAAAATCGTATAAACATAAATTATCAGTCTTCTATATTGTTAATTATTAGTATCATAAAAAAATCAAGCATGCATATTCACGGTGTCTTCTAAGTTCGTCTCAAATTGACTTCTCAATTTGTCCCATCAACACTTCTCTCTCAATTCGTCCCATATAAGTTTACACTTAGCTAGCTCATATACATATCGATATATCTATATTAACATATGTATGAATATATAAATCAGATTTTACGCGATACAAAGTGTGTATCCGTATTCATATATCTGTGCATATTTATAAATGTTTGGGATACTGGGATTGCCGGAGTTTTGTATCTGTTTATGCTTAGTTTTGGTTCAGGTATTAAGCATCATTCCAGATGTAAGTGAGAGGGATGGATGATTATGGGAGCATGATAGTGAGTTTTGAGAAAATATTTTACTCTTCCAGATGGGTGGACAGTTTTCGGCTGACAATAAATATGCATATATATCTAAATACGGATACAGACTCTGTCTTTCAAAATCGCTTGAGATTATTGCGCTATTTTGTTTATTAAATATATTTATTTAGTTAAATCTGTAATATTAAAGCTAATTAAATGTAAACTAATATGGGACGAATTGTGAGAGAAGTGTTGATGGGACGAACTGAGGATAAATCCACATTCACAATATAAAAGGTAAAGATTTGACTACGTATCATATTCATAATAATCTCGACATGACTCAATTACATAAATATTTCGTTAAAATAAGATTTTACAAGGTTTAAGAAATACGAAGAATGACATACACTGTACAAGCATGTTATTACAGTAATTCCTTTTCTCCTCAACACGAATTAAATCATCTATATTAGAAGCTCCGCGATGATGTAAATATACTGACAGTACTCTCAATAATATCCTTCTTTGCCTTACCTTATATATCTTGTCATCTAATTCATCTCCCACTTTTCTCAACATTTTCGCAACATATTGTAATGATACATGAGGTTTTTCTTCGTTAATTATATCAGATTCTACGAGTTCATATTGTTGTTCAAAATACAGTAGTTCTTTAAAAGTATATGAGACGTCTGGCACATAGAACACCATCGATGATGAAAGATAAAAGGATTCTTTAATTGATGCTGACTGTTTTCGACGATTAATTCTAATAGATAAAAAGCAACGTTCATTTTCTGATGATATCATTTTTATCAAGTGTGAAAATATGTATAATTAGTTCATTTATTCGTATGTTCAACATTCTGGTTATAGAAGAGAAATTAACGTCACTCTCTCGCTGTTACTCATATTGATTGATTGGTTATTTAGAAAAAGACATTTTTCTTATGTTTAAAAGAGAAATGAATAGAAATATTGAATCAATCGGAAAAAAGACGAGAATGGAAACAAAATGGGAATGACGAATCAGTTATGTAATGCGATTCGGACAATTTTGTTTCGCTCTCTATTTGTCAGAAAAAGGAGAAGTAACGTGACCTGAATACAAGGTGGTTAATGAATTTAAGGGAATCGTTGGTACATTCCATTGTAATCATAGTCTCACCGTCCTGTGATTGCCATTTAATTACCTGAATATAAATAATAGTTATAATGGTAATGGAATGTATCAACGATTCTCTTAAATCCACTAAGCACCTTGTATTCAGGTTACGTTACTTCTCCTTTTTCTGATAAATAGAGAGAGGGAAACAGAATTCTCCAATCGTATCACACAATCGATCCGTGATTCCTAGTTTCTTTTGAGAAAAATGTATTTTGATCACCAAACTAATTAGCGAAACTAATAAATTACAAGAAAAAACAGATAGAAGAATAATTTAATCAGAACAATTAGAAAGCTCAGAAAAAATTTAATTAATAAACGAAAGATGGCTACAGAAAATAGTGTTTTCAAACTTTATGGCAATAAAACTGTCCGAACTGTTTTTGGGCGATCTTTAACTTAAAAAAATTCTGACAGCTTTGTTGCCATAAAGTTTGAAAACACTATTTTCTGTAGCCATCATTTGTTAATTAATTAAATTTCTTGTGAGCTTTCTGATTGTTCTGATTAAATTATTCTTCTATCTGTTTTTTTCTTGTAATTTATTTGTTTTACTAATTAGTTTAGTGATCAAAAGTGTTACCTTTAGTGGTCATTTCGTTCGACAGAATAAAGTTTGGTGATCAAAAAATACATACTCTTTTCTTTTCTGATTCTTCTTTTTCCCGATTGATTCAATATTTCTATTCATTTCTCTTTTAAACATAAGAAAAATGTCTTTTTCTAAATAACCATTTTCTAAATAACCAATCAATCAATATGAGTAACAGCGAGAGAGTGACGTTAATTTCTCTTCTATAACTGGAATGTTGAACATTCATTCAAAATGGCATCATCAGAAAATGAATGTTGCAGACAATTTCCAAAGAAATATTATTCTTCATCTATTAGAATCAAACTTGTTTAAAAAAACATACGATGATCTGAAATCTTCAAAATTAAGTCTTTTAACATGATAACGAACTTTTGTGATTAATTTCAACGTAAGAGAAGCGTTTGAAAAAGTCAACAATATTCACGTACGTTAATTATCGATGATATCTGAAATTGTTTTTTGTTGATAGATATATAAGTGAAATGCATCATGAAAAGTGAACGACTTCTAAAGGTAAAATTATTACTTGTGTCTGATAATTTAAATAAAAAAGCTTTCAACATATTCAAGTAAACTAGGTAAACACGACAGTGACCATTCGAAATAATATAAATAAGGAATTAATATGTTTGAAAACTTACGACATATTTATTACACGACATGGTCAGTAAACGGTTCGTCTCAAACCAGAGGATTCAAAAATTTGTTTTGTGCGTAATGAAATCGAGAGATACATCACTAGATGCAGTTTTTTAAGCTGATCACGAAATCTAAAATTTATCAAAGTTTAAATTTTTAACATTGTAATTTCAATTTCGTCATCTCGACATTTTCTTGAAATAAATTAAAAACTATGCTAATCGATAGGGAATTCTAAAGCTGGGCAAAAACAGCTTATTTTTTTTCGAAGTTGAGATGCTTAAACAAGTTTAAGAAGCAAGACAGTTTTCTGAAAAACCAATTTTTGTAATCACTTTTTGATGAATCAAACAAGTTTGTTAATCTTATTTTAAATTGCATCGAACAGAGCACATGTAAGTCTATATATTACTATTAAAAATATCTTTTTCTGAATATCTTCTCCTATGAATTTAACCTTCTGCAACGAAATCATACAAAAAAGGATGAAATTCCGTCACGAAAGGTATTTGGACATTTTTATTTGACTCTGTAATCTATTGTGAAAACTAGGTAGATATTCTGGAAGCTCGTTAGAAATTGAAACATTTCACCTAGTACATGTTCTTGTACCACTGCTCAATCTGAAGAGAAAACCAAAAGTCTCTAAACGTCCAAAAGATTATTTCATTTTTTGGTATTGCATCGAGACCTCTGTTTTTTCTAATGACTTTTGTACGGTTCAACCAATTCCAGCGACATTTTTGCTGGTAGTAGAACTCATCCACTGATAAACTATTGATAAAGTGGAAAAGCCCTACAATATGTGTGCACTTCAACAACTCAGCACGTGCATAAACAATATTCCATTTCACGACTAAGTTTTTCTGTCGCTATCATAACAATACACAATATCCAGCATTCTAATTATCGTCTATAGTCATGAACATCAAAAGTAAAGCGCGCATAATTCAAAGTTACGGTACTATTTTCTTTGTGGATTTTTTTATGTGGTTAGAATAAACCGTTTCGAGTTGATCAAGAATATGTTAGGTTTAGCCTTTCGAACTAATTTTTTCAATAAGAAAATTAAAAAATACGGGAAGGTCCTAAATATCAAAAAAACGTTCCGACACGTAAAATTCAAATAATTTTTTCGATTTTTATTTCGGAACTCTGCATTTCCTTTTTTCTGATTCAGCGCATAAAACTGAGTCTAGATCTATTATTTATGGCTTAATCATATATAACCTGATCAAATTAAAAATTTATTTTCCAACATAACTTAACGTGTACCAACGTTTTTTGCAAACCTATCTACTTTTCTTCTGTTAAGAGACGGGAACAGTCATTCACGCTGTTTTCGATTCGTCTTTGCATGGACAAAAATAATATAGAGAACTTTTTTTTTGAAATTTCTTTCCATTGCTAAGAAAATTCATTTTTTCTAGATCAAAGGAGAAAAAGTCAGAATTCTGCTCGTAATTCTCAGTTTTTCCCATTAGAACTTAAGTTTATGCAATAAAAATATCATTTTCGGGATCGGGATCAAAAACTGAGTCGACTAATGTGTATATCAAATTTACAAAAATGGAGCACTTCAAGTGTTTCATTCTGTACTTCTATTAGTAAAAAAATCATCCATCCAGAAAGATCCGTGTGGTACTTCAAGTATCTCATTCGTCGTTTCAGCTTTTTCTTATATGGCAGTTTAATCAATTTTTGTTAGTGTTCAAGTAACAGTAACTGTTTTTAATTAAGTTTTATTTTATAATAATCATATGTTTTTTCATTATGTATTCAGTTATCACTATCAGCAAAATCATCTGTAGGTGTTTGGCAGTAATAGAAAAATGGTAGGATCAGGGTTGCCGAAGCTTCTGATTTTTAGACTTTTCTCCTTATTTTCAACTGTTTTGCTATAATGTGTTTTTATATAATTTGTTTTACATGTGTTCCATTTTTTAATATATGCGAACACGTTCACTATTGAAGCACACATTAAGGTGTGGAACGCGTGCAAAGACATGACAAATATTCACTGTCTGTGTGCATTCGACAACTTTTTTAATGTATGTAAAGGCGTTCCTAATTACATTGCACTCCTTTAAACCCATTAAAAACCTTCATTCTAAAGCCTTTGGATTTTCTAATGCGAACTAATATCCACAGGCATCCCCAAAACATCTTTTGACACACTCCAAGCCTTCAGAAAGCTTAGTTTTGTCCATTTTTAGACAAAATAATGCGTTCGGACACATTTTTGGTCTCAGAGGCGCATGATAAGCCCTTCCAGCACTATTTTCGAGCTACGATTTTCAGACCATTTTTTGTTCTTCTAATGCGATTACACGTATCAGGCGCACGAAATTTTCTCTTTTACGCGTTCGAATGCCTTATTTCGTCGCAGGAAACTAATTTATGAGAACTTTTTAATAGAATAAAAGGAGCTGCCGCCCAAAATTTCTTTCTGGGCTTTGTTCTTCCTCAAACACATTCATGCTGTAGATAGCTGTGATTCACTCTTACCTCGAATTGCTGTTGGTATGTTTGGTTATGCAAACATGCTTCTTACAGCAGAATGTGACCTTTTTAATGAACATCTCATCGCAATGGAAACTTCCAATTATTTTAAGTAGTTTTGGTAACATTCGGTTTTACTCTATAAGACCGGCAAAAATTTAATATTAATTTCAAATATCTTTCCTTCTTCCTATCAAACAACGCCTATTTACACGTTCAGTAACCGATAGATGGAGCTGATGCTAAAAACTACAGAGAAACATTGATAGAGGCCTGCATGCACTGAAATGGTAATGGTTTTTCTGAGTTCCAACGAATTTCACCTATCTCTTGTTAACGAACAAGGTAACGCTCGTCTCCACTCGCTCGGTCCCTTGACTTTAATAACCTGGATCTGCGCTACTGAACGCGCTTTCGTGATTTTTAAATCGAAGACAATGCTCACGCCTCCCTTCGGTCGGCGTTCGCAGCCATTATAGCACAGAAACGCTGTGAACTTCTCTGCTTCCAAGGAAAAACCATCCAATGTAAATAAAGCTAAAAGGTTTCTGGACACTCTTTACGGATCCAAAGGAGATTGGAACTATTTTCAATCGATTCGCTATGATAGATTTTCTATACACTGTAAGTTACAGTATCCGTAGCCGACTTTCCTTGTATTATCACAGTTGGCTGCAATCCGGCGACATCTGTCACCAGCCTACAGAAAACGTTTGCTTAGCTTTTTGTCTCTCTGCAGCGGTAGATATTTCAGATCATCTCTTTGAATATTTTCTCCCTTCTGTAAAAAAATAATTTTCTACTTCTCTCTCTTGTGATTCACTTATCCATCGAATATCTAACACCAATTTTTCCGTGTTAGACACAGACAACCATTTCGTAAGACCCTAGACTTAAGTCAAGGGAAAAAACAATTTCGTCAGTACAGCCTTGTACCACTAGAACTTCTTTGCGAACCTCTAGTCGATGCCTTTGGCAGGTTTCCTTGTTAAAACGTAAAACTACTAGTTCTTTTTTACCAAAGGCTATAAAAGAGTGGAATCAATTACTAAGAGAAGGGATTGCTGCCTTTAGTGCTCGGACTTTTAAATGTGCATCTTGTTTCTTAGAGTATTTAATAGTACATATTAAGCCATATTCTATTTTACTGTGCCAGTTTTTCTATTGTTCAAATAAAATTGTCGAAACTTCTTCCCTAATTTTGTTCCTTTTTACTGGGATGCCCTAGACAAGTTCTTTGTTGAACTTTTGTTATTACCCTGTCATTTTTTTAAGATCATGGTCTAAAATAAAAAGTTGATTGATTGATTCTAAAACTACTTTTCTCTTCTGCATTCTCTCTCTCTCTCTTTCTCCTTATCATGATGATTAGTCGCATTCTCTTATAGTCAACTGTCTAATACACATGAATGACAAAGAAATCATTTTTTATGCTGTTTTGCACAGACGACTACAGTGTTTACTCAACAAATATATGCAACATAAAATTGTGACATGTTTATTTGATATTGAAAAATACTGTTTCTCTATTTGTCACCTGAACAAACTTTAACGAATATTGGGTATAAAGTTCAAAAAATCCGATTAACTTAAGATCGCATCGTTCATGTGCATATTAAAAACTTAGAAGAATATCAGAATTGAGATGGAGTATTTACTAAATTTATGAGTAATTAACACTAAAACTAAAAACCATATCTATATAAAATTTACAGAAACATCCAGATGACATCCAAGATGACAAAGATATGAATATGTTAACGTTATTCATTAAATCGGTGTCTTTCGATATACCTACAAAATGTAACTATATACGAATAAAATCATCAGCGAGAATCATACCCTTTTTCGACTTATAGC